AGGTCTTCAGGCCTCAGTGCAACAAGACATATCAAGTCCTTACTTCCATAAAACCTTGCTGTCCACCCTCACCTATTTATTCATCATACTCATATTAACCCACACCAACCTTCATTTCACGTAGAAATTTCAAATATATTTGCTCTTTCTAAATTAGTGTACACAGCAAGAACTTGAGTCCCTTTTATATTCCCAGAATTGTATGTAGCCAGCCTCTCTCTCTCTCTATGCAGCGCTGGGCCCTGCTCTCACACCTGCTCTGCTTGGCTTGTACAATCTCATCACCTTTCCAGTCTCTCTGGGGCTCTTGCTCCATCCATGCATGCCCTTGGTGACCTGAGGTCCTGCTCTGAACTGCTCACAGAGAGGCTGAAGTGTGACTTCTGTGAGCCCTGTACTTGTATTATGCTTCCATGGGAATCAAGAGGTCTTTAGGGAATGACTTCCCTTTAACAAATGTGTTTGGAAGCATCCAAATTTCAAATGAGCACGTGAACACGATAGAAATTTACAGGCAAGTTGGAACAGAGAAAATGTTTACTTAATGGAAAAACATTCTCCCTGAGGTTTCAGGCTCCTTTACTTGGGGCTGATTCAAATACAAGGGAGAACCCGGTTCCCTGTTTACTGCAGAGCCGCTTCTCAACTGGCTAAAATTAGCTTTTAGATCACTGGGCTTGTGCGGCAGCAGTGCACCCTGTCCCCGGGGGCTGCGCTGTTAGACTCGCACTAACTCCTGCTGATCACCTGTGATTATCTCCCTGGCTGAGCAGTCACAGGTTGTACCTGCTAAACTCCATCGCATCCGCAAAAGATGGATCATTAGCACCGCCCGATCCCTTGATCATAGATGTTAAGCTTAGGCCGCCTGACTTCACTTCCTTCCATTGGAGTTGAAAGCCCTCAGCAGCACGAACGCTTTTCCCGAGTGTGACTCGTACATCATGTTTGGCATTCTCACTTTAGGACATGCCCAGGCACGCTCAAAATTAATTTCACAGCAGGAGACTTTCTGCCTTCAATATTGAGATGGCTTTTCCACCGCACTCGGCACTGCAGGAGACCCTGTTCATGACATTTGAAAAGCCAGCGTCAAACAGAAATGAACATCATAATTCTCCAGCCTCTTTTCTGTGCTTGATTTTTCTGGATGTCGGACTAATCATACACCTCCTCCACTAGGAGCAGAGCTCCCGAGGCAGAAACTTCCCCAGGAACAATTGTTTAGTCTTCCTCCAAGCCACCTCTTCAGGAGATGTGTTAGTTCAGTGTGTCCACACCTTGGTTACTGTACTTCATCTCTGGTACCTGAGTTATTGCTTTTGAATAGCATCACTGGGCCAGCAAGATGGCAATCTCCTGATGCCAAGTTTAAAGACCTGAGTTTGATTCTTCAAGACCCACGTGGTAGAAGGAAAGAGTTGACTCCCAAAAGTTACTCTCTGCCATTCACAAGAGCACTGTGACACATACACACACACACACACACACACACACACACACACACAACGTAACTAACTACCTAACTAAATGCATACACATACATGCATACACACGCAGATATATTTAAAAGAAATTAATCAAATAATAAGCAGCAGTAAATGGGAATTTTCACGCCCTTTCCTACAGTATGAACAGATGAGATGTAAATTTCTAACACCACAAAAAGCTTCATTAAAACATGACCTTTGGAGCCGGGCGGTGGTGGCGCACGCCTTTAATCCCAGCACTCGGGAGGCAGAGCCAGGCGGATCTCTGTGAGTTCGAGGCCAGCCTGGTCTCCAAAGCGAGTTCCAGGAAAGGCGCAAAGCTACACAGAGAAACCCTGTCTCGAAAAACAAACAAACAAAAAAAAAAAAACATGACCTTTGGGATTGTAATAAGCCATTAGAATTTTCCTAAGTTGAAGTAAAATCAATTTTAAAAGATAAAGGTTAACCCTTACTGAGAATTTTGTCACTATGACATTGTTTTGTATTATAAATGTATTGATTAAGTCTTAAAAATATCCGTCCGATAGATATTGTTGCGGTCCCCACAGACACAGAGAGATTACAACCCCTTCATGGTCTCCTGTCCAGCTGTGTGATTTTCCATCCTTTACACACTAAACAGGACTCTAAGCTGCTCAGTGCTTCTTGGTCCCCTCTCAGTTCAGTAACTGCTTCCCTGTTTGCCCTCAGCCCTCCTTTTTCAGCTAAGGTTCTTAAGAATAAGTAAAAATCCTTCATCTCCTTGGCCGGACAGTATCAATAGATAAGAGTAAATATGTAAGCAAAGGAAACAAAGTGTCAGTTTAAAAAACTTGAAAGCTTAGCAACTTAGATGTCAACATGATTGAAACACAGGGCAGCTTTTAAAGGCTACTATTTTTGTATCAGAGATTTTATTGCCATCTAGTGTTCAAAATGAAAATAACATGCAAACATGTTAGCCTTTATTTGCATGTAGTCTTACTACCCAGGGAGTCACTTAATAAAAAATCATTAAATTTATATACATTAAATAAGAAATAATTAAACTCTGACATGCAGAGCTATTGTTTCCTCTTACTTCTCTTATTATTTGTATGCTAAATAATATGCTATACATGTCCAGAGTTCTTTCTTATATTGAATAAAACCTTAAAGAAAATGGAGAACTAATTTTCAGTAGATGCAGTTAATGTGTTTGGGGACCCTATGGTTTATTTTAGGTCAATTTTGCGGAGTCAGCTGTCATTCTGGTATCTGGTGTATTACCATTTCAAATGCTTCCGAGTGTATTTATGGCTGGTTCATCTCAACTAGATTTATTTAATGGTGTAAGTGGCCACAGTCAGGTGCTGAGAGCTATAATATAGCTTTGCAGTTTCTATGTAGAATAGCTCCCATTTATCCACAAAATGATTCACTTATTTTGCATTTGGAAACATTCTACATTGAAGTCCTGAATTATTATTTGCCTTCTCATAAATACAGTATCTCTCCATTTTACAAACCCCGGGCCTGTCACGAATTTGCACCCCTCAACCTAACAGCTGCCTGCCCGTGTTGCTCTCCTTGTAGGCTTTTCAACATGCCATTATCTGAAGATTACGAAACACTTAATTCACATCGGTTTCTCCAGACTTTGAAATGTTAAGATACCTGCAATTATACCCTGGAAAATAAGGTTGGCGTGTTCTGGAGCCTTTTCAGGTGGCAGCTCTTGGCACACTGCTCTGCAAGCTACAGAAGCCTGAAGTGCAATCATTTGGAGGCCTGGACCTAATCTGGAAAATGATGGTCCCTCAAACACAGAAGCATGCCTGTCTTCAATACTCCAAAAGAAGTCTATTGCGGCACCACACGTTAGGGGCAGTTGTGTGGGGGGCTTAAGATGGCTGATTGTTGTGTGCACTATCAATCACTGACAGCAAGGGCCGACAGGACACTGGAGAGTCTCCACCTACAGTCAATGAAATGATTTTTTAGGAAGACATCAACTAAGAGGAGCAAAAGCGGTGTTAGTATCAATATTCAAAGTGCTGTGAAGTTCAAGAGGCTGGGCCTTCCCTGGACCCCTCTATTTTCATGACATCATCTGTTCATACGAAATTCGGCAAGTGGTTATTTTTTGCTGGACACAGTATAAGGTGACAGGCAAATGCCAGTGGCCGGAATAGTGCCTATGCCCTCTGGGAGCTTATGGTTCAGGGAGACAGCCTCCTCCAGCCTTGTCCAGCCTGTGTCCTAGAATAATAACCATTTCTAACTGGTGTGAAACCGTGTGCCTCCCACACACAGCATAAAAAAAAATGGATACATTCTTTACCATGCTCTAAATGTGACGAACCAAGTATCCTGAGACAAGCAGCTTGTGTATTACCACTAATGATGAGAGCACCACACCTCTTAATTTCAAGGGATTTAATTAACACATCCTTTTCACACTGACCAACCTGGTTTTACCTCACCCAAGTGGTAATCTATTAAATAACTTCAGCCTCCCAGGACTTTGTCACATGATTTGACTTCCAGTGTCTCAGGGCTCTCCTGATCCAGGGCCGTTTTCACTCCTTAAGGTAATGTGCTTATTGCTACCCTTTTCTACAGTAGCTAACTTGTAGGCCACCAAAGCAACGAAAGATAACCCATATCTCTGACTGTGCAGTTGGACTTTGTGTCTAGAGATATTAAATGTTAAAAGTCAAATATATGCGTTTCTGTGCTGTTGGGTCATAGCATTCTGAAGTACATTTTTCAAACAGTGATAAAAGGTGCTATCTGGCCTAAAGGGAGCACTGGCTGGTCCCACTGGCCTGCATGCCAGAATCCAGCTTTGACTTGACCCACTGGGACCTTTCACGTGATGAGACTGACCAACACCCACTGCTCAGGTCTGCAGTTGAGTTAGATGCCCTTACCGACTGCCTTTCCCCCTTTCCTAAGGATGCAGCATCTGAACTCAGAATTTGACTCTTATTGCGACCCTTCAGTTACAAAAAACAAACTTGAGAAGATTGTCATTCCAGGTTTCCTCCATTTTTGTCATTTACAATACTTTTCCATTAATTGTGCACACAAAATACAATCTTATTAGGGGAAATAAGTCAGACTCAGAAAGACAAATAAGGCCTAGGCTTAAAATAATAAATATCTATGGACTTATGGGTGGTCGTGAAACTATAAAGGGGATCATGAGGGGAGGAGAAGACATCTTAAAAGGGGAGGACAGTGGGATTCATGTGATGTTGAAGCAGAGGAGGGGATGGTCGGAGGGCAGATGTGATGGGGGAGGGCAGTGATGGAGCGGCTAAATTAGAACACAATATAATGATGACTCGTATGCATGCCATAATGAAACCTGTCACTTCATATGCTACCTTAATACAAATGTTTTAAGTCTTCAGTTTAAAAAGAGGATACACCCACTTGTCATTTACATCCTGTCTTTATAGTTTCTGTGACCAAGTTGTCATCCACTCCTTCCTGTTCCAGGAATCATTCATTCCAACCTCAAACTCAGAAGACACCAGAGACAGTTTTTATTTTTATTATTACTATTATTATTATTTTAATAAGCATGCAAAGATAAAAGTAGTGAAATAAAAAAGAAATGGCCCTGCTTTGGACAAAGAAAACCATCTTTATGGAGAAGAAATTCAAATGCTGGATTGAACATTTTAAAACACCTGATCGTGTGTGTGTGTGTGTGTGTGTGTGTGTGTGTGTGTGTGTGTGTGTGTGTTTTACAGACAATTTAAACCAGGTAAACTTGGTAGTAGGCAAAATTTTAGCGAGTAATGGAGTTTTGCTGGTATTAAGAGATAAAACACAATGATCCTAACAGTGGGCACGCATCTCCGTACCCACCCACGCACACAGCATGACTTCTGTAATATCAGTAACTCAGTTGGAAAACAGGAGCCCTGAGATTGTGAGAAATTCAATATGCTCAGTAAGTCATTGTTGTATATATCTCTTCTTCTATTTCTTCCTCATTGAACCCATACTAGAAATACTAATTTTATAGAAAAGGTGGTTATTATAAAGGTTAGGTGTGAAATTCATGCTTCTGGGTTAGAGAGTGTCAAAAGGCGTTGCTATTTCACGTGACTGCATCTTTTCCCTCTAGGTGTTTTAGAACAGCTTAGAAAACAGAGCACCAGGAGGAGGAGGCAGGCAACTCTTCAGGAGCAAGTTTTCTTTCCTGAAGAGGGCAAATCCAGAGCCTCACTTGAAGGAGGCCCTCACCACCCTGCCCTTGACCGGCTGCGGAGGGCGCCAGTTCCCCACCAGAGGCACTGGGGGCTCATTCTCCGCGCTGGCGAAGAGGCTGCGCAGCTTGGCCATCTGCAAAGGGAAACAGACTGTTAGAAACCACTGACTGTCCAAGCCAGCCAGGCAAACCACAAGCCAAGTCTCCAGAGGTAGGACGTGAGTTGGCAAACATCAGCTCGTACCATAAACAGGTCCTTACATCCGGGATCCCCTGCTCTCTGGATACCCACCTTCCCCACCTGTTGTAAATTGAGGGGTCAGCATGAAGTATACATTTTACATAGAAGGGGATGATGGTTTATTGTATGCCTGCAAATAAGAAAAACCTTGGTAGGCTTCCACTGTGTAATCAACTCAAGTATTTATGAAATTACTTTAAAGGACGAGAAAGAAATTAAAATCGGGCTATACATGTTAACCCTTTCTTTTCTTTTTTTCCATAAAGGATCAGAAAATAGGAAGTTCTCATAAAAATAGTATGTCTTGGTAGTTGAGATGGTTCAGTGTGTAAAAGTGCTTGTGGCAACCCTGACAACCTTCGATGTCCAGAATCCACAGGGCAGAGGGCTGTAAGTAGTCCTCTGACCACCTCACATGTGTTCACACACATGCATATACATGCACATGTTGTACTTTTACAGTTAAGATAGCCGAGCGGTGGTGGCGCACGCCTTTAATCCCAGCACTCGGGATCTCTGTGAGTTCGAGGCCAGCCTGGGCTACCAAGTGAGCTCCAGGAAAGGCGCAAAGCTACACAGAGAAACCCTGTCTCAAAAAATAAAATAAAAAAAATATTATGCTTTAGTAATAAAATGGTTTTAGCTTTCCTCATTTAAAAATTGTCATTCCATTTTTAAAATCTTTATACCAGTGAACAAGACCGTTAAAGCTAATCCTTATTTTATTCATTTATTTTTTTAACGTCGGTTTGCTCTTGGGTCCACCCTGGAGGAAACATATAAGCCACTGTCTTGGGCCAAGGAGTCAGCTGGTGAGCTGATCTTACTGTGAGACATTCATGTTCCGGGCTGTGAGCCCTATGTGTTTCACGTCTTTACCTATGTTCTCCATGTCCACACCCACTTAGCTTTCCCTGAAGCCCCGGTCTTGTACATGTTACCAGTCCATTCTTTCGATGAATGGAAGTAGGGCAGGAATGAGAAGAGCAGCCAGGAACTCCTGGAAGTAAACAGGCTGGGACTGGGATGAGGATTTTGTGCTTGGTTGTCCTTGTGGAGAAATTGATTTATGTTTCAGAAACTGAGCCTCAGCTTCTCTACTGGTAAAAGCTGGAGGAGCGCAGCACTCCTCAAAACCTGTCCTGCTAAATCACTTCTGCGTCGTTCTCTTCCTCAGGCCCGGATTTACCACCCCATCTCCTAGCCAGTCCTTACTCTTACATAGACCCAGTTCAGGATCCCACCTGCTCTTTCAAGATTGCATTGTCCCACTACCCTTGGGAAGCTCCCTTGGATAAAGCTGAACAGGCTGTGGGAACTTCTAGAGGGCCAACCGTGAGACATCTGAGGACCACACCAGCAATCTGGCATTCAGCGTCTATGTGTTTCGGCTTTAGCAAAGGCCTTCAGCCCGCAGTTCACACACAGGGCTCTGCGGTCGCGCTCACCTGGTCTGAGCTCACGGTCATAGGCTCCTTCAACAGCAGCCACACGATGCATTCCTCGCAGGGTGGGGTGGTGAAGGAGCCATGGTAGGTCCAGTAGTCCCGGCAAGCAGGGAACAGGCACGACGGGTCGAAGTGCGTGAAAGGAGCCTCCTTGCCCTGGAAGACAGGAGGAGCAGGCACTCTAAGCCGGCACGTGCACTCATCGCCCCCTAGAGGCCTCACTTATTCATTCATGAGAACGGAAAGGAAAGCAGGCATTTGAACAGGTTCAGGCCCTTCACTAGCAAACCTCAGATGAAAAGAAATCTGCTTTATGTCTGACTTGATCTGTTACCGTCACTGTAGTATTTTATTCCTTGTTTTCACCCTGTGTGGGGCTGCTACTCTGTCCTTTCTCACACGGGAGACTGAGATTGAAGAATACTTCTTGGAGGTTGATTTGAAGACTTTCACTTTAGTACATTTCAAGCTCAGAATACTTCTTCCAGTGTCCACACTTAAAAGCAGCTACTTGAATAATCTCAAAGATAACCAAATTGTGTCAGAAGAGATTGTTGTTAATATTTAATGTATATAGGGGCTACCAGGAAAGGACAATACCAGGATTGAAAGAGTGACCGTGGGAGGCCTGAAGAAGCTCAACAATCCTGTGCTCACCATGGAGTGGGGAAGGAGACCCCGGAACCTCTCACTTACCTTCCTGGGGAAAGTCCTTATCTGATAGACTGACTGACAAGTGAAATAACAGATGTGAACGTGCTCTAAGGACTCAACACTAAACAAACACCTGGCATTTACTTTTGTATGCAAACGTAGGATATCCATCAGACAGTGGAAGGGTTTTCCCGAAATTCAAACACAATTGATATGTTGGGACTTAGGTTTGCAGTCCTTATCTGATTTGCTCTTACCTTAGTCTTAACTTTGTCCAGGGCATCTAGGAGAATCTGGAATTCCCCTTTCTCCCGTCCTATCTGTAAGCAAATAGGCATCCAATAAGATGTTTTTTCCTCCTCTATAATTGGAGATCATCATAAAAGCTTATTTGATCCATCCACATGCAATTGGGGTTTATAAGTCTTCCATAGTCTCAGGTTGGGCCAAATATAAGTTTATTCACCCTGAAGGACTGTAGAATATATATTTTCTGATCTAAATTTGGATTTTAGTTCTCTGAAGTACAAAACCACAAAATTACATGTTGGTTCAACTCTATTTCCTTGACTCTCTCTGCAAAGTCATTCCATTTTTTAAAAGAGCCAAAGCAAAAGTAAACTATGTTTCCACAACCGAACTTACTATCTCCCCCTCACAATCTTCCCAGTGAATTCAGAACCTAGAACAAACTAGGTCATTCGCTGGCTTAAAACTCAGATTGGGTTACCATGAAGTTCATGTGTTAATGTCACTAAGTCCTCTTTAAACCAAGGTTGGCTGAACAACACACACATTCTTTGCGCCATCCTAGCCTGAGATTCTGTGGGTGGTGGCCCCGTTAAGCTGAGGGAAGGTCCAGCCAGGCACTTGGCATCCCAGAAGTTCCCAGCACTGGCTTTCTGGTTTCCAGTGTGATGGAAACAGAGTGGTGTGAAAAGAAAATGGACACATGTCATGCTCACACTCGCCCTTGCTCTTGTCTTTGCCTTCATAGGCTTTTTAAGATCCTGCCCTCACACGTGCTTCAGATACAAGGGGAAAATGGAATGCATGGTCTCCTAAACATTAGTAAGGGATTGCATTCTGAACGAGAAAAAATTACCATCAATGTCTACCTCACCTTCAGAAAAATGCCAACCACAGCAATTCCATCGGGTTGCTTTAGAGCTTCTCCAAAGGTGTTGTACTTCGGGTTCCAGTGAACCAGGTGAAGCTGCAACCACCAAACACAGGCTGTGAGATAAATCCTTGGGATGCAGAAATGAGCATTATTATCCACAAGAGACCCAAATGTGTGCAGTCTCCAGGTTGTTGCTGAACACTCTCATGGAAGTTGATGAGATTCTAAATATTAATAAGCAGTACTTCGGTGAAATTTCAATAGTTCAAAAAAAAGGGGGGTATGAAATTGTGCGCCTCCTCATAGACAGAGCTCCAGTGTCTGGCAGCAAGCATATCTTAATTTAGGACATGAGCACAGCTTAAGTAATCAAGTTGCCCATATTGAGTTACTTAAAATGGCAAGAGAATAGTTTATAGCTGTTAAACATTTATATTCAATTTCAAAAATGTGAGATAATCCCATGTACAAATACCACACTCCAAGACTTTTCCACATTCGGAAAAAAAAAATTAGCCTGAACTTTCTCCACTGGTGGAGGAAATGCCGAGCCAGGAAGACAGTCCTAATAATTTATTGGTCTCTACCCTAGCTTTCTAGATTGGCTGTAGAGAAATGGCCATACCACCCTAAATGTGCTGGATCTCATCTAATCTGGAAGCCAGCCAGGCCAAGCCTGGATAGTACTTGGAGTTTTTTCAAGTTTTATGTAGCCAACAGTTAAGTACTCAGTGATGGCCACAATGGGATCAGCTATAGTGTGCTGCCATGATTACACTTCCATCCCATCCTAGTGCTCACCAACATCTTTGGAAAAGAGTGAAACAGAAAGAATGAATTTTTGCTCTCGATTTTTGAAGAGTGAATTTTGACTTGATGTCCTAATGAAAATGAGAGGTGATTTATCTTATTCCATTTGCAAATTACTGCCTTAAACAAGGTGCCCGTTTCTCAAAATAATCTGGAGAATCTTCATTGAGGATGCTGACCCATTTGCCCACTTCTCTCTGACCTTTGGTGGCTTCACTTTATGAGTGGGAGGCCTGAAGCAGAAAGAGTACTGAAGTTGTTTTTAAATTTCCAGTTTCAACGATTTGAGACCTCGAGTGGATCAGGCCATTCCTCCTACCTCAGCAGCATACTTCACTCCATCCACTGTGTGCTCAGAGCCATGGTCATCCGAGGAGCCCCAGTGAAGATGGAACTGGCGAAGTCGGTAGGGTCCAGAGAGAGGACCACCCCTCAGCACTGTGAGTAAGATAATAAGGTGACTGGTGAGTTCCCCTACCTCTGCGGGACCCTGTCTGAAACCAGCACTCTACAGAAGACTCCATGGGTAAAAGATGATGTCAACTTCTGGGAATATGGAGCCATCCCCAAGTGCTTGTAACTTGAAGTCAAAATATATCAGAGCAAGGATTTTCTTTTCTCTCTCATTTTTGCTTGTTTATCTTGTTCTTTTAACACTTTAGGAAACAAATTAAAGTGGCAGATATACTATAAGAACCCTGAGGACAGGCTAGTAGTACAGTACTGTTGGGAAGAGCTGGGCACCTGACAGGATTTAAGTACCATTTCTGAGTTGACACCCTCATCGTTGTGTGATCTCAGGCAAGATACTCAGCTTCTCTGAACTGGTCTTTGAATCTCTAAGAAGGAAATAATAATCCCGTACTTTTTGACTTGCTGTGAGGATTCACTGAGATCAAGCACTTAAATGGTGCTCATCTCACAGTGCCCTGTGAGGGATCACTGAGCAGGCAGGAACTCCTTCTGAGTGTCCCACTTCCAGTGGTGCTTCTCCTTAGATGACAAGGGGTACTTCTCATACACATCTATTTTAGATTGTATCTGCTCCTGGCAGAGGAAACAAAAGTTCGGAAATTTCCCAGGAAGCTAGTCAGGGTGGACAAGTATATGTAATCATTATATAAATGTGTATGTATGTGTGTATGTATGTATGTATGACACATGTATCATTCTTAGGCATTAGTTGGGGCTTGTATAGCACTTGTCTAAAACTCTCCTGTAATTTGGTCTCAATTCATTCTGCCTGGAGATTAATTTAAAGATTCAAATATCTTCCAAAGGATACTGAAAACTGTACTGAAACCCTAAAATCAAGATTCAGCAATGAAACAGCATTGTAACAGCAGCTATTTTAGAAAGACTTGGTTTCTTTCAGTGGTACAGGGAAACCCACAGTGAAGACCTACAGCAATAATGCTAGTCTTGAACCAGCTTGATCCGATGGGAAGGAGGTGGTTTGACCTGTAGTTTCCTGTTCAATCCCATTTTTAAAAACAATTTTTTTTTAAAAAATGGCATTTCATGTGATTCTGCTTGTGGTTTCTAATTTTGTTGGTTTTTCCCCCTTCCAAATGGAGCTTCAGCTTTTAAGGCAAAGGGGAAATGGGAAAGAGCAAAAGGAAATAACTGCTCAGGAAATGGTAAGCTTCTGTCCTTTTCCTTTACTGGAAGGTAGGAGTGATCACTCTACCATTATTTCTTATGATATCACTGGGATGTTCATTCATGCATATCAATAAAGGAAATTTTAGCTTATGAGGAATGTTCTTCTAGGAAATCACATTCTTGATAACTAAAGCATAATTCTTATTTAGACTTGTTTACAATGAAATAAAGCCTGCTTAATTGAAACAAAATTTCACTCTTTAGATCTGACTGGCCTGGAATTCATTAGCAAGACCAGGTTAGCCTCATATTTGTGGCAAACCTCTTGTCTCTGCCTCTTGAGTGGGTTTATAGATGACAGGCACCAAGCCTGTCTGAAATAAAGTCAAATTAGTCTTATTTTATTTCACAGATTGGTTACTAGTCTATACTTAAAAAAATTATAATATGTTTCCAATTTCATGCTAACATTGCCCCAAGAAGAAGTGGTCACATACATCAGAAACACTCACCACAAAGATTCTTTGGTTGATCCCCATTGAGGTACTGAACCCAGGTCACCTGAACTCAAAGTGGCTCTACCTTTCCCCATTGATTGGCCTCCTTCCAGTTATCCAGGGAAGATATGACCCTATTGATTTCTCTCTGTTTGAGGGAGTCTGTTCTCCATATCATCAGGAAACATATGAACTTCATCTCTTGGTACTCAGAAAGTCCATGTGGACTCCCTGTTCAACCATACTCTGTCTCTGGAATGTGTAGCTAATGTTTAGCTTGGGCACATGGCCATTTTTCAGCGACAGGGTAACCAAAGTTAGTTAGAGGGTATGGCATTCTTCTTCATTGCATAAATATAATTCTTTACAACTAGAGCCAAGCCAAATGTCATCTCCATTTCAAGGATGAACTTCTCCCCCTTCCCACTAGTTCTGTTACTGTGTCACAAACTGCATTTTGCCAACAGATACTGAAAACACCCACATGACCCTTCCTAGGTGCTGTACTTACTGGACCTGTCATAAGTATCATCAAACACAACTCTGCAGGTCTTCCCGTTGTTCAGGATGGTCTTAGCAGAGCCCGGATCATAAGATGCTGACCAGGGCTGCAGAGAGGGGTCATGCTTGATGTCTTTAGTATGCAGCTCAATGGGTGACTGGTTGTCCCCTTTGGCAATTGGATAAAGTTCATGCCAATGCTCAGGACCTAGGAAGTAAAAGGAAGGGGATTTATTTATTTAATAGTACAACCCAAGGTCTCTTTCCAGTGGACTAAGCCAGCAAAATACACATAGGCCAGAAAGTGGTTACAGAAAGGTCTTGGGTTCAGATTAAGCAACATAGCACTTTGCATTTCAAACCTATTTGGAGCCTTGCTTATCTATGCTTGAAGAGTATCTCAGTCTATGCAGTCCCTCCTCTCACTTAGGAATCATGTAACTTGAAAAGCTTATCTTTGAAATGAATCACACATTGATCACATGATTTTGCATTATTTTGCAGCTTTCTTCTCTTGCCCATGGCTGAGGGCTGACTCATAATCAAAGCAATGATTGTTACCAGGGCCCCAGGCTTAAAGAGGCCAAGTGCTCGCTGCTCAGTTTCACAGAGTAAGGACCAACCAGACCTGATTTGGGGTTGAGTGACTTCTCAGACACATCATCCAGCCTTAGACTAGTTACAGTGTCTCTCTGAGCTTCGGAATCCTCGGTGGAAAGGAAAACAGTGAACCATGTTAAAAGGACCAGCAGCATGGGACACCTGAAAGTTCTCACTACATGCTAGCATTAGTAGTTCTTAACTACTCCTATGCCAGCACATCTGTGTAACGCCAAGGACAACCCTGTAGTGCCATGGCTCTACTCACCGTTGTGGCTGGCGTAGCCCCACTCCTTAGCCATGGTCACCTTCTTGTTTCTCAGCGCTGGACAGCTCCTTCCTTTCCTTGCTCCAGTTGTCCTGCCGTCCCCAACTGTCCTGACTTTTATATAGGTCTCCTGCAGTGTGCATGGCCTTATTAGGTCAGCAGGGTGAGGCAGGGGGCTAAACTGGATTGGGGTGGTATTTGGAAGGCGGGGCGGGGGAAGCCAATGAATTACAAGAGCTGAACAGCTGTCCGGGTGAGAGGGTGGCAGGAGGGGGCAGCGAGGGGGCGGAAGCCCCCCCCACCCCCGCCCTCCCCGCGGCTCTCGCATGAGCCCTGGCTCCTTCCCCTGCTCCCTTTGCAAGTTTCCGAGAGGCAGGGCTTTCTAAGAGCTCCGGCTTTGGCCATGCTGGTTCCCTCCGTCTTTCATGCACTTGGGGGTCTGGGGAGGCGCGGGCGCAGGCGGCCGTGCTGTTCCGCTTAGTCAGCAACTAAAAGTTGCACCCGCGCTCTTGCAGCCCCACTCAGAAGACGTTGCTTTTACCTCGGACTGGAGGACCACCGGCTGCGGTCTCTGAATGCTAAGGTTCCTTTCCCTGTAGGAATCCGGTTAGAGTGGCAGGAAAGAACTCCTCTGATCCTCTAACTCAAGCATGATTCCCTTGTGAAAAACATGTAAAATCCCGGGAACAGAGATGAGGAGGAGCCCGCAACTACACGTTGCCCAGTCCCGTTATCCTTCAAGGGATGAGTTTCTGAGGCAGATCGTGCAAGGCTTTACATCCAGTCTAGTGGGTACATTTGTTCTGTAGGACTCTGAGCACAGCGCCGGATCCCTGGCGGAGCAAGGACTCTGCACCCCAGCCTCACTCAGCAGCTGTCTGGGACTGAGCCACACTGGGAGTTGTGCTCCGTTAGTCTCAGGACGCCAAGGATACCCGAAGCTTTAGAAGGGCACTGTCAAAAAATGAGTATGCTACCTAAAAATTTCACTCTCCAAGACAAATTCAGACACTAGGCAAAAAGGAGAAAAGGGTCTACGGAATCGGTTTTTTTTTTTTTTTGCGGGGGGGGGGGGTCGTTTCTTTTCTCTCAGTCTTAATGTGTTTCATAATACAATAAACCACATAAAAGGAGACTAAAACTGGAGTATCCCATGTATGCACGGCAAAGATATAATTAGCAATACCTGGTTGCTGTTCACACTAAAGAAATCAGTATAGCAGATGTTTGCAATTCTATGCATATATTATAAAAATTCTTGTTTGGACAAGATTATCTTTTTAAAAGACCAGAAAGATACATCTGACCTTAGAAATTAATTGAACAAGATTTATGCATGCATTTTCTTATAACTTCTACTTTTCTAAATAGCTTTTTCCATTTTACTTTTCCTTGGGAGTTACAAAACCTGAGAAGGAAGTCTCTCATCACGGCAAAGACAGCTCATCGGCTAGGCATGTGGAATGCCTGACCACACTCAGAACCTGGACGCCAGGGGAGTCAGTCTCCAGGGTATTTTTGTGACCAGGGATCACTTGATCCACACAATAGCACTGTGGAATCAGGAACCCTCAGTTAGTTGGAAAATCCAAGCAAACACAGGGAAACAAATGCCCTTAGCTCTATGCATGGCTGGGTTTCTAGCTCACGGTGATAGCTGCTGCTGTGTTTGGGATTAATAGAGGTGATTTAAAGTTATAAGTGCATGATTATTGGTGTGAATAAGCCATAATCTCACTCCAGGTCATCAACTGTGATGCTGACTCTTCTCTGACCTGGGTGATCAGGAGATTGATAATTAAATCTCATAGTTACCAATAGTTATTTGATGCTGAGTATTGAGTTAAGACATAAAAGGAATTATAAATGCAATCTAGGAATTCATTATGCTACTACTGTTTATGATGGGAGATTTTTTTTAAATGCTTCATTTACAATTTAACAATGTACCCAATGACACTTAAAAAAAACACTTGTAAAAAATTGTCAAAGTGAAATATCTAACAGAATTAGATACAATAATTTTGAAAACAATACTTGGAATTTTTTATCTTATTTTCTTGTAAGAAATTAGTGAAAACTGTAATTTAGCATAATTTATAATAAATTGTGTAATTGTAAGTGAGGAGTGGTGGCTCACACCTTTAGTACCAGCATCTGGAGTTAACAAAGTAGGCATATCTCTGCAAGTTTGAGGCCAGCTTGGTCTACATAGGGAGTTCAAGGGCTGCTAAGGCTACAATAATGAAACCCTGCCTAAATAAAGAAAGAAATAAGTAATTATATCTCATCTGAATTCATCTGCAAATATTTTTTTAAAAAAAAACCTCACCTGCAAATTTATCATCTGCATCTTAACTGAATTACTCCAGCTTACTTAACTATAAATTTCAAAATTATCTGTCCACAGAGAAAAAGATACTTCTAAATTGGGTTCAGGACTTATAAGCTTTTGGAGTTGGCTTGGAAAGGAAAACTGTTAGGCATATACCAAAACTAGAAGAAAGATAAAAGAGCCATTAATAATTAACTACAGACTATCTCTTCCAGTTCTCCCAGCAAAATCATGGGAAAGTTGATGTAGTGGGTAATTTTCTGGATTTTCCTCCAAAAATGAGTGTATGTAGAGAAAAAAATAGGAGAAAAGAAGGGGAAAAGTAGGATAAGAGGTGCTCTTACCAGAGTCACCTAGAAGATATTAAATTAAATTTAAAATATTAGAAGTAATAACATTTAGATATATTTTATCCATGATTTAACCATTCTATTTTGCAAAAGATATCATGTAATACAATTAACTCAAATCATCCACAAGTTGGTATCATTTGGCATTTGTGTTGCATTACTGAAAAAGAAAATCACCAATTAGGATTTGAAGTAATTTAATAATTCAGCTTAAATATTGTAATCAGGAGCATGAATTTTCTACTACTTTTGATTTTCATAGAATAAGCTCTAGGACAGGAAAGCAAAAGTAGGCAGCAAATATAGACACCACAAATGAAAATTTCAATAAACTGCCTGAATACGATGGGTGGCCCGACTTTGACCTTCCTCATCAGTGTGGGCTGAAGCTTGGCTGGGTATGCTATAGATAATTGCAGGCTCCGTTCCCAAGTTTGCCGCTAGTGACAGCTGGGTCATTTGGATAAGATCTTATATTTGGCCTCTGTTCTTGGCAAGGCTGGAGGAGAGCAGCCTAACTGGGATATGTCAGGCTGATCACTTTACTTGAAAGTGGGAGCAGGAGTTCCAGGGTAAAGCCCTCCCCGATCCACCCAGTAAGATCTGATCATCAAGGCCCATCAGTTCAAACCAGTTTCTTCCAAACATAATTGTTATTTTAAAATATAGTAATAGAATATTAAGTGGAGAAAATGGTTGAACTTTATAATATATTTTCTTAGGGTCAAACATGGACCACTGAGACTTTATTTCTAATAATTTCATGATGTTTGTTTATAGAATTTAACAGGTAGAGTTTTGTTGTTGTTGTTTTGTTTGTTTGTTGACTTCTCAGAAACATTTAGATGGCTGTTTGCCTACATTTTTCTTTGGTCTTAGGTACCTCCTATGGGAAATGGAGGAAATAACTCCCACCTTACGAGTTTGTTGTGAGGCTTACATGACAATATACAAAGCAGCTAACACATCATACATAAGATAGAGGAGTGAGCATTCAGCAGAATTAGTGTCTTTCCTTGTTCGCTACACATAACATCTCTCTGGAAAGTCATCTACCCTGAATAATCCCTGTTCTTTGTTGACCATAAACAGTGCCTTCCTTGCATGTTGCAAAGTGTAGGTGCTAACCTGAAGATATCATTACATAAAAGAGATAACTTGGGTGAATGAAATAAAAATGGATACCCACAGCATTCACCCTCTCCTATGAACTGTCTTGTCTTGCTTGGAGTAATCATGCTTTGGCTCTTTTCAGCATAGGAGTCATAGCAAGCCAAGAACCAGTTATACACATAATGCATTAATCTAACAGAACTCAATGAAACTCTCAACACTCCAATAATACCTAAAAATCATCTTACAAGGCTGAAAACTTATGCTACTTGATGATCAGGATTTTTGTTTCCCGTTAATTCCTCATGCTTAATGAAGTTTCAGATGTGACATGAATTGCTAAATAGTCTTTTAATAAAAAACCCAGAGCCAGATATTGATGTAAATGCTGAAAGGTTGGAGAGACAAAGGAACAAGCCACTTCTTACCTCTAGGACTCCTTCGCCCGAAAAAGCCTTTCTAGCCGAAATGCCTTTAGCCAAAAGGGATTCCTCAGCCAAAAAGCCGTTAGTTTCTGTCGCCTCATGCCTTATATAACTTTCTTTGCCCAGCCATCACTTCCTGATATAGGTGTGTGTGCTTCCCCAAGTATTGGGATTAAAGGTGTGTGCCACCACTGCCTGGCTCTGTTTCTCTCCTAGACTGAGTCAATCTCATGTAGCCCAGTGTGGCTTTGAACTCAGAGATCCAGACAGATCTCTGCCTCCCGAGTGCTAGGATTAAAGGTGTGTGTCACCACTACCTGGCCTCTATGTTTAATCTAGTGGCTTACTCTGTCCTCTGATCTTCAGGTACATTTTATTATGGTACACAATGTATCACCACATTCAGGTGCTTTCAGAAGCACGGTGCACATACTCTTCACCCATCCTTCACTGCATCCATGGAGCCTCCTTTACTCTTTCCATAAGGCTTTTATTTTTTCCTTGCTGTAGACTTCTTTTTACACACTTTCCTTTGGTTTAGCTGCTTCTTCCTTTTTCTATACCTTATAGTTTAAAACTGTTTATAATTGCAATTATATAGACTATGTCATGTGTATTAAAATGCTATGCTCCTGTCATCTATAAGATCAGTGATGTATTAAACCTGCCTTCTTTTGTTTCCAACTGCCATTCTAATTCAAGGCAAAGCTTGTTGAGCTTGTAATGACTCATTTTTGGAGAAAAGAAAGAATACTACATCCACTGTCGTGTGCTTTGTTTCCCTGGGAAGAAAAATACAGCAACCTCATTTCTATAGGAGCTAGAAGATTCTCCTGATGGTACCCTCTGTAAACCACATCATATAAAGCACTGTGACCCTTGGGTAACTAGATAGCTTTTCAGAATAATGTCTGCCAGTCTCTGGGTTCCCAACAGCAAACAAAGTGATGCAGTTTACATTTAAAAAGTAATATGTTGAGCTAATTCTTACTCTCATGAATTTAATTGAAGAGATGATTAAGGAACAAATAAAAAAAAGATTGGCTTTTAAATTGTAAATACCATTTTGCAAGACACACCTGGGTTGGCCCCAAATCTAGAGCTGGCCGACTAGAAGTTTAAGAACAGGCTGCCGCAAAGACTTGGCTCTGGAGGGGCCCTTGGGAGGACAGACCTGGGTAAGGGAGGACATGTGGCAATGGTGAGCAGTGCACACAGAACAGTTGTTTAGGTGGGTGCCAGACTCACCACAAACAGCCATCCTCCAGAGAACTAGGTCTGTGCTTTGAAACCTGACCCACTCTCAAGAGGCAGCATTAGCCCATACATAAGCACAGAGCCACAGGATCAAATGACCTTCCTTTAGGTCACACCTCTTTAAAGTTCCACCACATGTCACCACAACCCTGGGGATCAAGCTCCCAGTGCAGGAAGCTTTGGGAAGCAAATTGCATCAAAACATAGCAGAATCTTAGAGATATGAGAACATTTGAGACTGTATTTCTTCAACTTCTATGTAACAGGGCACAAAATCATCTTCATCAACCTTTCTAAAATACCATTATTCATTGTTTTCTAAAGTTCAATACCTACTAATAACATGACTCTTTCAATTTGGAAAATGCATCATACCACTCTTATATCCTGTTTATTCCAAATAAATAATAAAATTTAAAGTCTGCTCTTAAATGTTTTAAATGTTGAATACTAATGTGAAAAACTTTAATATTGTAAGACTAAAAATAGTTTCTATAGAAAATGTTATGCAATATATCTCCATTTCTTCTTTATTCATTTAAAT